TTTTTTCATGTCCTCTATGCTCTAACTACGAAAATATTTGATTTACAAATAAGGAATCCTACTTCGCGGAATTTCATTTATCACGGTAGGGTCTAGAACCAATTAACCGCGATAAATGAGGGTTCACTGTACTACCTGTGAATTCTGTGTGGCCATGGCAAGGAATTATTGTTCACAGCATCGATGTAGAGGGATGGACGGTGTCAGGAATGGTAAAAAGGTTGGAGGCTGGAGGCACGTCAGGCGTCCACCTGTAGGAGTCAGCCTTTGGTGGCTGACGACTTTGATTCTCTCTCCTCCCACTGAAGTTAGAGAAGCTCTGCCTCCTCCTACACCAGGTCCTCTGGTGAGATGGCTGCTCATGGCCGTGGCAAAGTTTCTAATTGGGTTGCTTATCATTTTGTTTTTGAGTTATTGACGTTTTTCTATATATTTTAGAGATTAGAACATAGGGATTTATATACACATGTCATATCATTCCAAAAGATGTTTTGTTGTTTTGTATTGGCTTATTTTTTTCAAACTTTGTAGTACCAATTTCCTTCCCTGCATCTCCCATTCCACTGAGAGTTAGCTGACTGAAAAGGACTCGTTTCAACGTCTGTCTCTCTGAGCACTTAAAAGCAGAGTTAAAAGAGCTTTGTAACACTTGCCCACGCAAGGCACAAGCCTTGAACCAAGGGCAAGAGAGAGAACTACCAATAGGTATGGCTAAGAAGAGGCTGTGACATGAGTTGTTTCTGATCCTGAATTGTAGCCTGTCATTTGTCATTTTCTGAATCAACTCCATAAGAGTGAGTATTATCTGTTAAATCTTTTTCATTCTGAGAGGTGTTAATTTAACACACTTTAAATGTCTTGGGGTAAGTACATTTATTTATGCAAACAGTAATAGAAAATGGAGAGATTATAAAGAAATAGATCTGAGTCCCCACTTCTATCAGCTTCTTCTCCTCCGCTCCGTCACCGCCCTTCTCTCCGGTCGCCACGGAAGAGGAAATCGCAGCACTGGTCATCGACAATGGCTCGGGTATGAGCAAGGCCCGCTTTGCGGGCGACTACGCCCCCCCCCCCACCTCCACGCCGTCTTCCGGTCCATCGTCGGGCGCCCACGGCACCAGGGCGCCATGGTGGGCATGGACCAGAAGGACAGCTACGTGGGCGATGAGGCCCAGAGCAAGCGAGGCATCCTGACGCTGAGGTACCCGATCGAGCACAGCATCATCACCCACTGGGACCACATGGCGAACCGGCACCACTCCTTCTACAACGAGCTGCGGGTCGTCCCGAGGAGCACCCCGTGCTGCTGACCGAGGCTCCCCTGAACCCTAAGGCCAACCAAGAGAAGATGACCCAGATCATGTTTGAGACCTTCAACACCCCGGCCACGTTTGTGACCATCCAGGCCGTGCTGTCCCTGCATGCCTCCGGTCGCACCACGGGCATCGTCATGGACTCCGGTGACAGTGTCACGCACACGGTGCCCATCTACAAGGGCTGAGCCCTGCCCCACGCCATCTTGCGTCTGGACCTGGCCGGCCGCGACCTGACCGACTGCATCGTGAAGATCCTGAGAGCGGGAGATCGTGCGCGACATCAAGGAGAAGCTCTGCTATGTCGCCCTGGACTTGGAGCAGGAGATGGCCACCGCTGCCTCCTCCTCGTCCCTGGAGAAGAGCTATGAGCTCCCTGGCAGCCAGGTCATCCCCATCAGCAACAAGCGCTTCCGCTGCCCCAAGCGCTCTTCCAGCCCTCCTTCCTGGGCATGGAGTCCTGTGGCATCCACAGACCACCTTCAACGCCATCGTGAAGTGTGACGTGGACATCCGGGAGAACCTGTACGCCAACACCGTGCTGTCCAGCGGGACCAGCATGTACCCTGACATCGCAGACCGCATGCTGAAGGAGATCACAGTGCTGGCGCCCGGCACCGGGAAGATCAAGATCATTGCGCCCCCTGAATGCAAGTACTCCGTGTGAATCCATCCTGGCTTCACTATCCACCTTCCAGCAAATGTGGATCAGCAAGCAGGAGTACGATGAGTCGGGCCCCTCCATCATCCACCGCAAGTGCTTCTAGACAGACTGCCCGCAGGTGCTGCCACCTGTCGCATGAGCTCGATGACAGCGTAGGTCGGCCCCTCGTGCTGGCCTTGTGAAACTGGAAGAAGCCTTTGAAAGAATTGTCCTTGAAGCCCTCTCTGGCGGCAGCACCGATCGTCGGACTTGTTGCTGATCTTGACCTTGTATTCACGTTAATGGTCCCCCTCATCTGTGTTCAATGCCCTGTACGTCCTTTGATTTCAACCCTAGCACCGGCAACCGGGGTGGAGTAGGCCTGGCCAGTGTGTGCAGGGTGCTCACGCGAAGAGCTGTGGGCTCTAGGATCGCCCTAAGGCCAGCAGGGGACCGGAAGCAGCCAGTCCTTGCTGTGTGCGGCCTGCGGGGCGGAAGAATCTGAGCCTTGGGACCAAGTGTCCTTTCTTTAGCTGATGTTGGCCGCTGGAGCCCCGGGGGCTGTTACTTGCCTTGAGTTGGAAGACGGTTTGCATTTAAACCTGTAAATTTGCTCATTCTTTTAATTTATGTAAGGGGTTTTTTTCAAACAACTCTCAACTCTGAGATGACACAACTAATTTTGGTTTTCTACTGTTATGTACGAACAATAGGCCCCAGCAACACGGCGTTGTGTAGGGAGAAATAAAGCGCTGCAGTGAATGGCAAAAAAAAAGAAATCGATCTATGGTCTTCTTTCAGGAATCTCATTTAAAAGGACTATAAATAATGTTTTCAGATCAATACACCCTGATGCCACAAGAGTGTTTAGCACTATCTTTTCTTAGGGCTATAATTAATAACTTACCATTAAATGGCTAATGAAAGATGCTGAAATAGAGCACCAATTTAGCCAATTCATTGGGAATTTTTCCAGCTCCCAACAACCACCTGGGATTCATCTCAATTCTCTGGTTCTGTGTTTCAAATCAGCCACGCAAACATACTATTTGCTTTCAGCAAGTCCCTTGATTTATTTAATCCTTCCCCAAAATACGTCTTGAAATTCTCGCAATTTAACCCGTTTACGATGACTGCATGCTCTCTCCAATGACTGAATCACTCCTCAGCGTCGTCGGGTGTTTGTCGTGAGCTCTGCGACTGTGCTGGGGGCTGGAAAAGTGAGGTCACATCTCTATAAGATGGTTGATGTTCTATCTCCTCCGGAAATTATCAATATTTTTAACAGTACTTGTAATCTCCACTACTCCTCCCCCAAAATAAGAACATCCAAGCATCCTGCAAGCACATAGAATATATGGAGACTCAATGTTTCCCTTTTCAAGAAGGTCATTACAAATACACACTGAAACATTTATTGTCATGTGTTGTTTTTTAGATAAGACACTGTGAGATTATATGCATGGTATGGATTTAATCGTGTCCCAAAAAATGTGTGGTGGAAGTCTTATTCTCTATGCCCATTTATAATCTCATTTGGAAATGGAGTTTTGCTTTGTTTTGTTTTGTTCAGGAGGCAGAATTAATGCCAGGTATATTTTGAGGCAATCTCTTTTGAGCTATAAAAGGGGTTTAACAGGCAAATGTGTTGGCAAAGATGCAGGGAAATAGATCCAAGTCACATAAAGACGGCTCAGGAACAGAAACGGAAAAAGGAAGAGGAGTGGGGGAGCCTTTCCTCCAAACCAAGAGAAGAAAACCTTCTCCTAAAGGCGGCACCCTGAAGTCCAATCTCCAGCCTCCTAAGCGATGAGAGAATACATGTATCTGCTGTATTTCTGTTCTAGCAGCACTAGACAACTGAGATCCTGGGTTCAAATGAGATAAAGATGATAAAAAAAACTCTGGCAAAGAAAAATAGATTGGGACAATCATCTATAATACAAGCTCATGTTTTGTTTGTTTGTTGTTAGTGTGTGAATTAGTCAGCTGATGGATAATAATTCACCAAGACTTGCAAAGAAAAGCCAAACAAAGGAAAAGTACGATTGTTTTTCTTCCTCAAAATAGTGGTAAGAATTCATTACAATTCCTAATAAAAAAACATAAGAGGGAGGAGGGAGAAGAATTTGATTTATGTGCTGAAAATAATTCTTAAAGTTTACAAGTCATATTCCAATATCATCCATTCTCTCTTTCTGGATCTGCTCAGCAATGCAGGAATCTGAACTCACCATCAGGTGCAACTTTTTAGTAAAGCTTTCTATTTGGAGATTATTGTAGATTCACATGTAATTGCAGGAAATAATACAGAGGGATCCCATAGACCCTTTACCCAGTCTCCCCCAATGGTAATATCATGTAAAACTACAATTTGACGTCACAACCAGGATATTGGCACTGATACAGTCAAAACACGGAACTTTTTCATCACCCCAAGAATCCCTCTTGTTACTTTTTCACTTCCCCTCCACATCCATGACTCCTGGACTCCACTGGCATTTCCTCTTTTTCTATGTTTGCCCTTTCCAAAATGCTATATAAATGGTATTGCATGGGATGTAGCTTTTCAGGATAAGATTTTTCCATTCAGCTTTATCCTCAGGAGATCCATGCAGGTGCATCTTGGAGTCAATAAAATGCCTTTGTATGTGCTAAGTAGTGTTCCATAGTATGGCCCTAACAGACAGTCCACGTTAATGTTTAATAGAATGGTCAAGAGTTTAATCACTCATCTGAGTAGTCTCCAGATTTAAACTATTCATTTTGAGCAAACCTTCTATAAGTATTCATGCACAGACTTCTGGGTGAACTTACACTTTTATTTCTCTGGCAGAGTCGTCCAAGGTTACAATGGTTGAGTTAGATGGTAGTTGCTAAGGAGCCCTGAGAGTGCTGTAGGGTCAGTGACCCACTGCTACCTGCAGGATCAGCTGTTCGAACCCACAAGCAGCTCCAGGGGAGAACGATGAGGCTATCTGCTTCCGTAAAGGTTTATAGCCCTTGAAACCCCATAGGTTGCTATGGTCAGAATCCATTCAATGGCAGCGGGTGGAAGGGTGGCTGCTGGAGTAGAAGGCACAGTTAGCACACTCATCTACTAAATGAACACTGGAAGTACAAGTCCACCCAAAAGTACCTCAGAAGAAAATCCTGACTGTCTACTTGAAACACATCAGGCATCGAAAATCCTACGAAGCACAATTCCACTTGGACACACAACGGGTGGGCATGAATTGGAGCGGACTCCAGGACAACTTTTACAGTAGCTGAAGGTTTGCATTTTTGCTTTGTTTTGTTTTTAAAGGAACTTCCACTCTGCAAAAATGCTTGTGCAATTTTATTTTCCACCAGCAGTGAATGAGTGCTCCCGTTTCTCTGCGTCCTCGCCAACATTTGGTGTTGTCACAGTTGATAATTTAGCCAAAGCCAGAGATCCAATTTTGGACAAAAATAGGTATCAAAGCAAAACAAAAAAGAATGGGTAAAACAGGTTTTTAATTAAATACATCTTGTTATTTTAGCATCACCTGGAGATGTTTAAAAATATTTTTAGCGTCAACTCTCTTTGGTTTAATTCCACAACTTAAAAGCCGTGCACTTTAAACAAAATACTTAACATCTCTGAACTTAAGCTTCCTTGTATGCAAAACCTACTCCTCCAAGGGATGAACTCCAATAGAGGGAAACTGCATGTAAAGCCAGTAGCATTTGATTCATGCTTAATAAATGCTCATTCCTTTCCTCCCTCTGATTCCATTTGCACTCTTGACATATTTTAATATACATGCTTCTTTTTTTAATCATTTTATTGGGGGCTTGTACAACTCTTATCACAATCCATACATCCATACATCGGGTCAAGTACATTTGTACATTTGTTGCCATCATCATTCTCAAAGCATTTTCTTTCTGCTTGAGCCCTTGGTATCAGCTCCTCATTTTCCCCCTCCCTCCCCGCTTCCCCCTCCTTCATGAACCCTTGATAATTTATAAATTACTATTATTTTGTCATATCTTACACTGTCCAAAGTCTCCCTTTACCCACTTTTCTGCTGTCCATCCCCTAGGGAGGTTCTATGTAGATCCTTGTAATCGGTTCCCCCTTTCCATCCCACCCTTCCTCCACCCTCCCGGTATCATGGCCACTCTCAGCACTGGTCCTGAAGGGACCATCCGTCCTGGATCCCTGTGTTTCCGGTTTCATCCCCATAGTTCTTTGACATGTCAACCTCTTGAATTAGCTTCTGTGTTCCAAAATAGTTGCATACTTTGAAATCTATATATTTGAATTTGGAGTTTATAAGTGAAGTTTGAAAATCAAATGAAGCTATTTAAATAAGTAATGGATGCTACAAGGAATAAGAAAACACACCATGTTTATATTATAATTATAATATAATTTGGTTTGTGCATAATATGTTAGGGAAAATTTATATTGCTCTAGAAAAAAAATAATTGCACTAACAAATAAGTCTCAGGGTGCTATTTTTAGCCATATAGCAGATTAGTCCACTGCGAATTGAAAAAATGCCAGAGAATAAGGAAAAAGTCAAACGGTAAATGCAACCATATATAATACATTTGCATAAAAATATACCAGATAAAATACAAACAAAGGTGTTGCTGAGCTCGTCATCCGAGAAGCCGGATTCTTTGAAGAAGAATGCTGCATCAGGACTGGAGGGTGGCTTATTAACAATCTGCGGTATGCAGCGGACACAACCTTGCTTGCTGAAAGTGCGGAGGAATTGAAGCATGTGTTGATAAAGATCAAGGATTGTACCTTTCAGTGTAGACTACAACACAATGTTAAGAAGAAGAAAATCTCCACAACTGTACAAATAGGCAACATCATGAAAACTGATAAAAGTTTGATGTTGTGAAGGATTTTGTCTTGCTTGAATCCACAATCAATGCTTACGAGAGCGACAGTCAAGAGATCCAAACACATATTGCATTAGGTGAATCTGTGGCACAGGACCTGTTTAGAGTATTGAAAGGCAACGGTGGTCGCTCTGAGGACTAAGAGGAGACTGGCCCAAGCCATGGTACTCTCCATTGTTTCATATGCTTATGAACATTGGCTGGTGAATAAAGAATGATGGGAGAATCCATGTATTGGAATTGTGGTACTGGAACAGACCGTTGATACTGCCATGACCTGCTCAAAGGACACAGCCGTCAGCACTGGAAGAAGTAAGGCCCTGATGCTCCTTAGAGGCGAGCATAATGAGCCCTGTCTTACAGACTTTGGACATCTTGTCAAGAGAGAACAGTTCTTGGAGGAGGACATTTGGGCAGTGAAAAAGAGGAAAGCCCTCAACAAGGTGGATTGACACAGGGATTGTATCAAGGGGCTCAGGCAGGGGGACAATTGTGAAAATGGCAAGGACACAATGTTTCCTTGTTGTGCACAGGGGCACTGTGGGTTTGAGACCCTAGGTGACACCTAACCATAGCAACAAGAGCATCAAAA